GGGGGCATGTCTGACCTAGGTTTTGGGAAGAGGTGGGGATGGAGGGAGTGTGTGACCTAGGCTTGGAGAAGAGGGTGAGATGGGAGCTGTCTGACCTAGGCTTGGGGGAATGGTGGAGATGGGGGATGTCTGGCTTGGGTGAGCATTGGAGACTGGGCTTGGGGGAGGGGATCTGGCCTAGATTTGAGGGAACGCTGTAGGTTAGTGGTGCCTGGAGTAGGCTTGGGGAAGAGATGAAGGGCAGGGAGTCTGGCCTAGGCTTCAGGGGAGGGTAGAGATTGGGAGGGGTCAGGCCTAGGCTTGAGAGAGGGTTGGAAATTGGGGGGTATCTGGGAAGGGATGTGGAAGAAGTTTGGCTTAATTCTGAGGAAGGACTGAAAACGAGGGCTGTTGGCCTAGGGGAAGGAATGGGGGTAGGGGAGCTGTGAGTACAGGGGCTGGAGTATCCAATCTAGGAGTAGAAGAGAGGGGGAGGTGGGGTGGAGAAGGAGAGTTGGGGTCTGGTCTAGGGTACGGAATGGGGGGTTTGCCCTAGACTTGGGAGAGGTGAAGAAAGTGGGGGGCAGGGGTGGAATCTGGTCTAGAAGTGGAGGAGAGAGGAAGGTTTTGGAGAGCTAACCTAGGCCTGCAGAAGGTGGGACATGGGAGTGGGCAGAGATCTCATCTAGTGTTGGGAAATCCTGGGGAGAGCTCTGGGTGTAGGGAGGTAACTGGATTGTCTTTGGGATGGGAGGGAGGACGACTCTCTTTGTTCCTAGAGAGAGGAAATGAAAGTGGGTGGAAAGGTCTTTGTGGGAGGGGGGAGGTCCAGCTTGGAAGAAAGGAGCAGTGAGACTTGCGGATAGTCTTGAGGGGAGGGAGTTGTGGGAGGACAGAGGAGGGTTCATCCTTGAGGTGGAGGGGGGCACCCTAGGAGGAGAGGAGAGCAAAGTTTGGGGAGTGTTGGAGTGTCTGTGTCTCCTCTTGGAGCAGATGGTTAGATTATATCACAGGGCTGATGAGGTTTAACCTGGATGCTGTAGGAGCTGGTGTGGGTTAAGGGGTGGGAATTGAGGCAGTCCTCTTTAACCACCCCCCCCCCAACTTAATTCTTGACATCCTGCTGCTTTGTGTTGCTCTGTCTGGGGTACTTTTAATCCATACTTGGGAGGGGTATGTAAGAGAAGTCCGTCGGCCTGGAGCCATTCCCTGACATTGGGTATGCCAACAGATTAAAGGTTTTCTTTTTGTTTTTTGTTTTTTTGTTTTAGTGGGGATCTGTCAGTCTTTTGATACTGGGGGAGCTGAATCTCTTCATGTGCCATAGTAAAGAAATACTGTGAATCCTCTCTTGCTGCTTGTCTTGGAGTGTCGCCTCTGAGTACTTTGTGTCTTGTGGCGTCACTTGGAGAATCATGACTTTAGAAGCCTGGTGGGACGTCATATTAGACCACTGGTAAAAAAAAAAAAAAAGAAAAAGGAAGGGGAAGTCATTTGTCAGGCCTTGTAAACATTTCTGTTGTGGGGGGTTATGGGCTCCCTGGGGTGTTAAGCTCGTCATTTACCAGATGCCAGCATTTCAGAATAAACAAACATACTGACCCTAAGGACACTTAAGGCATGAAGGAGAATAAAAAAGAAACAAACACTTACACATCAGAAGCATGTGCAGAAAGCAAATGTGGGTTGTAGTGCAGATAATTAACCGGGACAGATGAAAACAATCTGTGACTGAGTTCTGTAAGCTTGGAGGTAGAGAAGTGGCAAAGGGACTGTTTTCTGCATGCGATTTGACAGTGCACTCTAGCAGAGTATGTAGACGCATCTCCTTGCACCTGGGGCACTTAGTAATACTTAGTTTCATTAAATGATCTCAAAGCACTTTGCAAGAGAAGGTGAGTCATCTCCTTTTTATAGAAGCAGCCATGGAATTATGTATTAGCTAAAGAATTTATGTAATGTGGTGACACAGCCGGGAATATAGTCCACACCTTTTTGCTTCCAGTCCTAGTTCTTGCTATATGCTGCTATGCTGTGCGTAACTGCACTCGGTCTGGGGGACCGCTGTGTCGAAAAGACAAATGTTTTTGTTCAAAAAAGGTGATTTGCGGATTACAGCGAGATGTGGATAATGTATCCATGTTTGGTAGTCCTCACTGGGAGAGACTGTCTAGGCCATCAGGTGCGTATGCAAACGTGTAGGCAAAAACATATTTCTTTAAGAAGCTGGAATGAATTAATTATGAAATCATTTACATCTCCCATCCTTTTCCACTGCACACCTGGGAAAGCTATTTAAGGATTGTAATCCTCTGAGTATTTGTTTCCTGCCTGCCTAGTCCTTTAGATTGCATTGCTTAGTTTCCTTTGCTTTTATTTCCTTCTATCCTCTCTGTATGTCTTTTCAGCTAGCAGTCCTCTCCACCTTTGACCTTTTGTTTTGCTAAGCTAAATAAGCTGTGTTCCTCTTAGCTGTGCTCTCTATTTCTAGATTGCCCTGGTGGCCCTTATTTACATCCGCTTGAGTTCGGTTTTTTTTTTCTCTGTGCAGGTACTGGAATGGGATGCGCTATTCCAAGCGAGGCTTTGTCAGTGTTTTACAAATCCATGAATATTTCAGGTCTTGTCATGCAAGCTGTTCCTAGCCATGTTTTAGGAGAAATAAAATGGGGAGTGATATAATGCTGAACTGCAAGTGATAGGTCAAAAGAATATGACGGAGGGTGAGGAGAGATCCTGAATTTCAGCTAATAGTTTCTTGTCCTAAAATAAGTGTAAATGGCAGAAAGGCTATAGCTCCAGGCTCCTAAAATGTGATTGTCAGAAGCTTAGAAAATATAAGGAAATAAATCTCCCTACCTCATGTAGCTGAGCTATTTGGTGTTCAGCAGTGAATTTACTGCTCATGTCCGTGTTGAAGTTTGTGTTACTGCTAACTTTGACTTTCTTTGCCCAGCTCAAGAATAGCGAGGTGTTCTTGGTGCAGGTTCTGTACCAGTTAATAGGAGAGAAGCAGAGACAAGGGTTCTCTTTTGTAAAAGGCAGGGCGCTGCCGGTAGATGAGAAAAAGGAGTTTCTTTGAGATTGACTCAAGGAGAATAGAGTTATAAAAGTAGCAGGGTAAGAGTGTATTTTTAGCAGCTCAGAAACTATAATCACAATTGAATACCTTTTCAGAAATTTGTAAGCAATAATGTATGAGTGTCACAGCTGAAGTGCATCCTTAATGATGTTTTCCACTAATTTCGGAAAATTGTGAAGTTTTTTGTTTGTCTGTTTTACTCCAGTCAAGTTTCTCACCTGTTTTAAGCAGGCTACTTGAAGTCTTGTGTCACGTTATGTTATGTTGTTGAATGCTCTTAAACAATAGCTATGTTCTGTAGCATTGTTGGCTGTTTTTATTACCGAATAAAATCCTTCTTGCTTGTCCTCATGTGCCTTTACGTTTCTGCAATGTTCACGTTTCATCTCTGAGAAATGAAAAAGAGTTGTGCAGATGTATTAGTAATTGAGCATCGTTATACTGGAAATTATGTGCTGGAACAATGAATGCATTTAATTATGAGATAGATCTTTGCTTGGAAACTCTGGCCTCAGGCACAGAAAGAAGCTGACTATCACGCAAAGCCTTTAAGCTCTCAGGTGAGTCAAAAGTCATATGACCTATAGCATACACATATACCCAGGTCGAGTGACTGCTTCTTTTAGTCTGTGGGAGGACTGCCTTGTTCTTGTGTCCAGGATTAAACCTATTTTCTCTCTATATCATTTTCTTTCTTTTTGGTAATGGACATAGTAGGATTTTTGCTTTAGCTGCAATTTTTTTACCCTCTCTTTTGGACTTTGAAGAGAAAGAAATACAAAAAAAATTCTGCCTGCAGATGGGCAGTTCTGTAAAGACAGTAGCCTCTGAAAGGCTGCCTGAGAATGCTGCGTCTATGGATAGAGGTAAGGAAATTGCGGTATGGCTTAGGAAGATGTTTGTATGGCACAGTTGTGAGACCACACCAGGCGTTAATATTTTAAATCCTTAATGGTAGAGAGGAGGCTTGAAAGAAAGTGTGGTCTCATTGGGGAGCTACTCATGTCTTAGACTTTGTGGAACTACTAGTGTTTGAAAACAGGCTCCAGGCTGAGCTTTAACAAAATTTGAGTCACTTGCGTTGTTTAAAATTTCTCCTTCTCTCCCTAGTACAGCTGTGCTTTGTTGGAGGTTGATATTGCTGTTAGCATGGTCTAGGAGTTGTTTTTCAGATGGTGTTACGTTCTGCTGCACCTGTCCCAGCAGCGAGTGTTGGAAAACCTGCATTTGGTTCCAGCTTTCCCTTGTGGTCTTGTGCAAGATGTATAATCTTTCGGTGTTTCTGTTTCATCGTTATTTATAAAATAAAACCTTGGGGCAACAGCTTGTTGTGAGCAAGGTACTGACGTTTGAGACTTTCAGAAACTGCTTGAAGCACCAAAGTTGCACAGGACAAGCAAAAAAGGGATGTTGGCTACTTCATATGGGCTGGGATCTAGCTGTGTCACTACTGCTTTACTGAATCTGGCACGCTGTTTAGATGGATTAGGAGACTACAGATGGGTTTTTATGGGTCTGGTGGGGGCTCTTTCAGTAAAGTTCTTTGCCTTTACAATACATTAAGGATATGAGGAGCTTGAGGGAACAGCCCAAGATGTTTACTTCGGCTTAGTGTCTGTTTGCTATCATATCATCATTAGTAATACTTCTGAGGGAGAAGCTGAATGTGGTGTACCAGGCTATATGCTATTTTAAAAACGTACTTGCTGAATGGCTGTCCATCTCAAACGTTTGAATAGATAATATTGGTGAGGGGGAAGATAATGTCTTTGGATTATGAAAATATTTCACAAGGATACAATTGACCTGAAATCTACGCAGCTTTAAGCAATTAAACCTACTCTGAAATTGTAATTTGTAGCTCCTGGTTAATAAAGCTATAACGTTATGATTTATATTTAACTGTCACTGCTCTTGATTTTAGTAATAATCTGATTTATGTTGTTGCTTAAACTGGTGTATTTGTTAGTGACAGTAAAAGAATGTATACCGTTATAGGCACATAACTATGTATCCATAGTAGAAGCTTTTTCCAGTTAAAATATCTTGCAGAAGCCCCTGTTCTGCATATTGCTGTTCTGGAATCCCACTGTTAATATTTCTTCCATTACAGTTAGACCTGTCTGATCATTAAAAAGTATTTTTTTCTCTTTCTGTTTTTCTGTGAACAGCTTTTTTCTTCTATGTAACAGAAATAAAATAACCTTTAAACAGAGCTTACGTACAACCATTGGCTACTCACAAAACCGAAACTGAAAAAAAAAAAATTGCATCATTTTCCCTTCATCAGCTCTATCTGATCCAACTTCACTGCATTAGAGGGAATTACCTTTCTTTTTTAGATGGAGGAATTGAGGCGAGAGCTTTTACTTCTTTCTCCAAACTAAGCAGCAAATAATTGATAAAGCTGTTAGAAATTATATTTGCAAGAGCTTGTCTTGTTATTTTGTTGGCTATAGCCACTCTTTTAAATTGGATATCTCTGGGCTTTCACCTCGCTCCAGTGGCCCACTGTATGGAGAGAAGTCTCTCTTTCCAGAGTATGATGTAGCATGAATAGTCCTTATTTCAGTAATTCTAAAGTTTTAAATATGTATGATTAAAATAAGTCATTGGAACTGGACCCAGCATTAAGAGCTCTATTTAAGAGGTACAGGCAAACGTGTAAACTTCAGTGTTCCTTAACGACGTAGCAGCCAGAAAGTACTAGGAGATCTTCAGAGTGTGCTTTAGGTATTTGCACCACCGCTACTTGAAAAAACAGTCAGCTTTTTTTGCTGTGCTTTAGGATTCCGAGACCCTTCATTAAGGGGAGCAGATCATCCTAAGGTCAAAAGGTGTAATTAGTGTCAATATAAATTGTTTGTATCAGTTGAACTGGGGTTTTGTGCTGGAGATCTAACTCTTCATTTATTATGCCGTGTAAATAGCAGAACACCTTGAGATAATGTTCTAGCGCTAATCTGTAAATTGTGCTGTGATACATCAAAGGCTTTGAGAAGATAATGAATACGTGAGTAATTGAATTGCCATTGCTTAATGGCTGTTCACAAGGAAGTTGTGAAAGGTAATTGGTCTTTAATGTTCATGCTGAAAACTAGGATTATGAAGGAAATGTTACAGGAAACAGCCTGACCCTTGGGTATAAAAAACTTCCTGGTGGGTGTGCAGACTTAGATATGTTTCATTTAAGTTACAGTTCCAAATTTGAGAGTGTTTTGATGTAAGCAAGCCAGGCGTGAGGCATATGGCATCCGAGCTTTCTTACTGGGATTCCAGATAGCAGTGAGTAAGTCCTATGGGATTAATGCTTTGTCATCAAACGACATCACGGGCTCCCAGCAAAGCGTGGGCTGTCGGGTGGAATGAAATCACCGTTGCCTCAATGTGGTGATTCTTCACCCTGAGCTGAACAGTGCCAGTTCAATCGTATCTTTTAAGCCGCTACCTGTTCCTCTGCTGGTTGCCGTGCTATCATATTTGTTTGATTGCTCTGCCTGCAGCACGTCTTTCAATACCACCATGGCATCTTTTTCATCTTGGCTTTCCTTTAGGCCAAGCAGGTTTTTCCCAGTAGCATAGCTGAATGATTTTCACTTCTTCTCAAACTATTTCTCAACACCTTTGATGGTGACTGAGTAACATCAAATACTCCACAGAAGAAAAACTGCCGATTTGGAGTCTTGTTCTGACTGCGTTGTTCTACCTGCCAAACTTTTTGTGTTCAATGGGCCCACTTTCCACACCTGTTGATTCAATTACATTTGTCTTTTAAGGATGGACCCATGTCACACGGCGTCTTTACCGTGTTGTGTTACCCGTTCTTTTCACTCTTCTGTTTTGGAAAAAATGCTGCTCTATGAGTAGCAGAACTAACGGGTTCCTGGAGATTTATCCTAAACATTGCATGTTGGCATCTCACTAACTGAATTTTCTCCTCAGGCAGTTACCTTCAGTCTCTTCTGTTTCCTTTATTTGTCAAGATGTACACGCTGTAGAGACAAAACACACCTTTCCCGAAGATGCCCAGTTGCTTCAGCCTGCCTATGTGAGCATGTGCTCATACATGCTTTGAAGCAGGGATTTCTTAATCTCAGCTTGAATGGACTGAGGGAAAGAAGGAAAAGCTTCTGCGAAACACGAATTATACTTGCTTGCCTTGTCTTGGGAACAGTGTCCTGTACGTGGTTGAGCAGCTGGCTGTGATTCAAACAGCCTGTCCCATCAAAATATCCCTCTGACACTTGCCTGGTTGGAGGGATTGCTTATGTCTGTAGAGGTACTGTTCTGTGGTTGTGGGTCAAAGGCAGGAAGGGATCGTTCTAAGGTAGTTGTAAGGGCTAATCATGCTTCCTGAAGGCAATATCAACTATATATGAAAAAAAAATCCTGCTATTCTTCAGTGCTGGGGTTTCTACCACTTCCCTATCGAACTTGTCTGAGGGCCTACTCCTGTTAATAAGGGTCAAGTCTCTCTAATGTCTAAACCCATTGTTTCCTTCTTGCAATTTAAACTCATGACTTCCCAGCCCGCTCCCAGCAGTGTGGAGACTTGATTAATGTCCTTTTTCTTCTGGTCCCTAACACATTTGAAGAGCATAAACCACTGATGATAAACCAATCAGTGCTGCATAATTTGTTTTCCATTATAAAGCTAGTTGGTTTCTTGATGCTTGAAGAAATGGGAGTGTTTAAAATCCTGTTTCTCTGTCACCGAACAACCCTCGTTCGTTACCGTCTTTGGTGGCCGTATGGAGTCATAGATATTATTTAAAGGAAGAACCGTTCAAGGCTTTTGGGAAGGAAAATAGTGTCAGTGCTACTGTTGTGGCCCTGTATGTCTAAGTACAAAAGTTTTTAGGAAGAGGTAATACCTGTGAGACCAATGGACGTAGCTAGAGGAAAGGGGTGGGCGAATATGTGAGCTTTCTGGATGATACCTTATTTTCAAAGAGGCAGGTTCTGAAGATATTCTGTTGGATCGTAAAACTAATATGGTAATTGAAGCCAGAAGTTTTGGTATCCACTTGAGTTTTGCAAGCTAGGGATTCTTTTGTAAGTTTTCCCTGAGACCAAGAGTGAGGGCCTGAGATAGCTGTGGTTTCTGAAGAATACTTCTCCGTTTATAAACTGGGTATTTCTTTTCTTCCAATAATTGTGAGCTCTGGTCAATGAGGGATTTTGGTTTCATTCGCACTGAATATGTTGGCTAGACGTTCTGGCGTGTATTTGTAACATATGAGTGTTGCTATCTTGGACTGGAAGGAAAGGAGTGGTTATGTATTGTGATTCTTGCGGATATGTATTGAAGAGCTTATGTTCTGGCATTTTCAGCGTTTTATTCAGTACCTGTTGGTCTGTGGGAAGTTTACATCTGATGATAAGTTTGATAAGGTCGGAGAGAGAATTTTGAAGGGTGGGGGGAGAAGATGGGAAGTGGAAAACTTATTACAGGATTATTTTCCAGTAAAAAGTGGTACGTTAAAGACTCGAGAAAATTTTGACTTTACTGGAGTAAAGTTTTGTCGTGCTTCTGTTTTTGGTAGTTTACCCTCCACCTAAATACATAAACATGTGTGTATGAACATTTAGATTAACTATAAAGTGCCGCCCGTCTAAAACACTCGGAGCACAGCCGCTATTAAATGTCCAGTGTTAATTCAACAGTAATTTGTAAATGTGTGTTTTTAAGTCACGCGCTGAAACATGAGCCCATCACAAGGGGAGGCAGTTCTGTTACGGAGAGGGCAATGTTACTAACAGTCCTGTTTCAAAGGGGTAAGTCTTCCTGAAGTAAATAGTCAGATGGCTGGGAACGGTTACCAAACTTCCTAATCCGTCTGCAGCTATTTCCGTACCTGTCTTGTGTGCACACCTGAAAGCATACAGTGAGAATACAGGAAGCCAGCTGTGAACTGGATTAATTATTTATGAGAAGTGTTGTTTATACCTTTGGCTTTTCTATGTTGAAGGATCACTTTTGGCGTATTTTTCTGTCTTTAATTCTAGTTTCTCCCTCTGGCTTTGAGAGCGTTGTCCTCGCAGAAGAGGATCTCAACGTCAAGCTGATGAACGAAGAGATACGTATCCACAGCTGGCCTTGTTCATATTACTTGGACACCAGCAAACAATGGGTCTCTGGCAGACTCTCACTGACTCCTGTTGCTATCAAATTTACAGCTGACAAAACTGGTGAACTTTTGGTCGATTTCCATCTTTCTAGTATCAGCGAGATCAAGAAAGAATCTTCAAATCTAATCTTTAGCTCCCTCACCATCTTAGAGAGGAGTACCAAGCACTGGTTCAGTTCTCTCCAACCGAACAGGAATGTGGTGTTCAACATCCTTGAGCATTTCTGGAGGGAGCAGTTGCTGTCGAACCAAGGAGCAGGAGCAGAAGCTGGGCCTCTGCAGTCAACAAAAGGAAAGGAACTGACTGGCTTGTTAGCAGGTTCGCAGAAACGCCTGGAGGACACGGCAAAAGTGCTGCATTACCAGGGCGAGCAGTTTGATAACATCATGAGAGGACTGAACAAAATCGAAGGCGATATGGATGTAGCAGACAGGTATTGTAGCATCCTCTGAGCTAAGCAGTAGCTGTGGGATTGCACTGTATGCGTCTGGAACTTGAGGGGCAGATCCACAAAGGTCTTTAGACCTAAACTCTGCTGACTTTCAGTGAAAGTTCAAGCACGTGATGGTATTCTGTAGATCTAGTTCTTGTTATAAGATTTTTCTCTATTTCTGTCTTCCCTTCTATGTAACAGTCTTTCTCCCTCAGAAAATTATGCTTGTATCTATCGACCTGTGCTCTGTCCCTGAAATAACTTCTCGGAAGCCCTTTGTGATTTTTTCCAGCCACAGCTAGCAGAATGGTAGAGATCTCCAAAATGTTAAGTTCCTGTAAATTTGGAGAAAATAGGCATCTCTTTCCTCTATAAATGCCCCTACTGAAAGACAGGCTATGGAGTTCTGGTTCTTATTAGATGTCCTAGAATATCCACAGATGAGAAATATGGGATGTTGGGTTTGATTGATTTTCCTGGTAATGGAACAGCCAGCTTTACACCACAGTTCTGCTTTTCTGATCCATTTGAAATCATAGGCAGAATGGCAGGTGGGCTGGTGACTTGAGTTGGCAGGAGACAGCCAATAACTCTTCAGGTTGCTCTTTGCCTACAGGGTATGTTTAACTGAGGGCTCTATATTTCCCCTTTACTTCAAAATAACTCACTGACCAGTTCGGAGCAGCAGCGAGGATTGGGTCTGTGGTACAGACGTAGTCGGAGAAACGGCCGTAGAAACGGTGGTCCCTTATTTGTGTTTTTTAAAATTAATTGCGCTACTTCCAGCCTTATATGAAATACTCCCTGCCTTTACATCTTGTCGGAATTAGTACATTTGATGAGGAAAAAATGGACCGTCTCGTGCAACGCTAAGCAAACTGCTGAGCTCTGTCTGCAGAGTGTGGTGCTGTAAGAACCAGAGAGTCAGGCTTGTGTGTCATCCCCACCCCAATACTAGACTGTTTGTGGTAGTCTCAAATAGGCGTTTGAGCCACAGTATTCCCCCAAAAGAAAAAGCCACCAAGTGGTGCATTTAGGCAACTGAAATAAGAGATATGGAGCACGTTTGAGATGTTGCATGTCTTTAGTTGTTGCAGAACTCGATGTGAATAATAAATGGTTTGTGTCTCAGTCAGAACACTTTGACTTTGCTATTTAGTGATTAATATTTGAAGTGACTTTTTCTCTGCTATTTTGTGTGCTGCAAGTTGGATGCAACAGCAGTCCAAAACAGACAATAAGGTTAAGGGGAGTATTGTAATGTTTGAAGATATGTAGCTATGAGCTTCTTTGTGGAACCTCAGACAGCTGCATAGAGAAACAAACACAATAAAGTTCAAACTAGTTTCTTTTGGAAGAAACATCTGTTTTTAGACGGGTATCATGTCTAAAGAAAGTGTTGATTTCGCAGTGATTCTGGCGATATTCTCTATGCCCTTTAATGAAAAGCCAAGATAACGGAAAGCTTCAGCAATAGCTTTTAAAGCTCTGTAGCAATAAACAATGAATAGGAAAATAAATACCTGCTCATTGTTTTTGGAAGAGAGTTTTGTTTTGGGTTAAGATGCATGGGGAGGTATTATTTGTCTTTGTGGATCTCAAGAGTTAGTTGCTTTGATTTAAAGATGGAAAAATAAAGGAGGACATTGACCAAATGTTTGCTGAGCTTCTATTTTATCTACGGTATCTTAAAGTTTAGCCAGCTTGCTCACAGACTAAAACAGAGTCCAGAAGCCATTAGCTGAACTGTTCTTGATTTGCACTGTGCTTTTTGGGGAGTTCTAACACTTATTTTCCAATATAGTTTGTCTCTCTGCATGTGTGTATGTTTTCCCATAAAGATTTAATCTTTTCAAATTTCTTCTCTTAAAACGATGACATCTTTCTTCATTTCCCTAAACAGCATAGAAAATAGGAAAGATCATGATCAAAGCTCATTTGATTGTTGCACATTATTTAATTCAGACTATTAGCATAGATAAAACTTAATCACTTCAATGCCTTTGATTCTTGCTTTCTTTAGAGTCTTGGTGAGAAGTAACTACGTAGATAATATCATGCAGGACCATTTTACATGGGTAGCAGATCACAAAGAGAGGGAAATTTTAACTATATTTGTATTAGTTTAAGGTTGTGTGAGTGACACCAGTATTTTGATGGTCCCTTTTAAAAAGAATCAGAGTGGCCTCTTTATCGACCTTTTGTATTTAAAACTTGGATTAACTATCTTGCCTGTGTGTGTCGGCTGTTTTGGATTATTAATTCCATTCAATGTAGTGTGCACCAGATTCTGCTCTTGTATATGCCCGTGTACATGCAGCTGGCTTCGATTGGGCTGCGTGCAGATAGGTAGAGTCGAGTCTGTCGTGCTAGCAAGTGTTCAGAGACCAAAAATAAGCCTAAATCCAGATTCACTGGTTCCTTTTTAATATATTCATATTAGAGGGCAAGGTATTTTGTTTGCAATTTTTCATTTTATGGAGCAGTCGCTTAGTTTGTTGATATATTATACTTCTCTGCGGAAGCCAAGAGAAGCTGGCTAGACCTTTTGTTAGGTCTCTGTAACAGAAAAATTGTCCTGTAAGTCCGACGTTGCATGACCAGAACGTCAGTCGTTTGGGAGAGAGGGGAGAAGATGGAGAGAGTGATTAAAAAGTAAGCAAATGCACGTGCTTTTCTCATAGGGAATGCAATGAAGCAAACCAGTTTTGCATGAGAAATTTAATAACTTTTCATAAGTTAAGACATGGGCATAAGCTGTCATTGCCCTAAAGTTTCTTGTTGTAACTCTGAGAGGAGGATGGAAAACATGCTTATTTGTGTAGAAGTGAGATCAGGTCAGTTTTTTCTATTTAGTTACAGTAGAGTACATTAGAGTATAGCTTTTAATTTAGAATTTTTTTGTCATTAAGGAAAGTCATAGTATTTTCAGAGGGCCATTGAGAGCTCCAGACTCATTACTTGTCTTGCATGCTATCTACGTAAATATCTAATATTCATACTGTGTTTGGGAATAGAGTCTTGGAACAATTCCTTCTACCTCCCTCTGTTATTGATGAATTCAATGGTTTACTGAATATGCCTTTTTTTTTTTTTTAACAGTATGACTTTTCTTGCTTTTCCTAGCTGATTAATTTCTTCAAGCAGATCTATTTTGAAGCTGGTGCAGAACTTCTGACAGCTAGTAGACAAAGTGTGTTCAGTTAGAGCTTCCCTTCAGATTAGACTGTGTTTGTAGCCCAATTAAACAGGATTTTAAAATTGCAAAGTCTTCTGTAGAGCTGCTCTGATTCTCTCATGGAAAATAATTATTACAAAAAGTATCTTGAGAATAGCACTGCTGTGGTGCATGTTTTATTGGGCAGTGCCATTCTAGAGCAAACTTAAAAGCAAATTAAATCAAGCATACTTCCCGAAATACCAAGAAAGCAGCAATGCTTTGCATTTTGTTCTGATAAGGCTTTTATCTCTGAGATTTCCGTCATTAGTAGTCTTTTGGTGCATCGTGAAATGACCAATGTTTCATTTAAACGTATCTTTTTATGTTTTATCTGGCTTTATTTGGAGTGTCTTCTGCAACTTGCATGTCAGTGGAACATGCCTAGTCGCTAGATAGCCTTTAAGGTACCTGTGGTGAGGAGGACGCAGTTTTCGTTTGGGTTGACCTTCTTTGGAGCTGTTCTTCTGCTTTGATTTAAACAGAACCTCTTCCCTCCCATCAGCTAATTGAGAACCCATTTGTGCCTCCAGGGAGGGCACTCCTGTTCTGCCCAGTGATTGACGGACAGGCTGAGAAACCGTAGTTTAAAGCATCCTGGTTAGACTGGTGGCCTGCAAGCTCATTTGGCCTGTAGGATGCTTCCAGCCAGCTCACTGCTGTTTTCCAGAGATGCTTGAGTAGGGTTGCTTGAGCAGCAGATACATCCCAGAGAGCCGATTGCCTCATCCTACAGCTGCCTGCAGCTGCAGACGGACACGAGAAGCTGCTGTGGGTGAGAGGGGAGGTGGCTGCTTGCCCAGTGGCTGGTGGGAAAAGGGGTTGCACAGTGGGAGAGGGGGATACGCAGTTACTGTCGATTGTGTGGGGAGTTGTAGTTGGCCCGAAAGACTTCCTTCCAGGCCCTGAGGCCGAGTCATCCTGGTATACAGGATGGGTCACCTCACCTGGCCTTTTAGACAGAGGGTAGATTTAAAGCAGATGGGTGCAGAAGATGGCTGAAGTTTGACGGGGATTTGTTCTCCTTACTAGGCATGGGGATTTTCACAGTGAGGGGAGAAATCTTTATAGAAGGTGGTGTGGGGCAGAACTAATGTGTTTTCCTACAGATGTTCCCCAAGTTAGCCCACTACGATGATCTCAGCTTCTTTCTTCCCTTTCTGATGAGGGTCTGTTCTTTTAGCAGGATGGATTTGGGGAAAGGGCAGGGGACAAGAAGAGAATGGGAAAAATGGAGTGTCATAACAAAGGAACTCTGGCTCTCCCTGTAACCCATCTAGACCTAGAGAGGGATGCTCAGAGATGAGCAGCGCAGCACTTTGGGAAATCAAACTGAAATCAGTGCCTTTCCCTTCGTTCCCATTTTTTTTTCAGTGGAAGGCCTGCCTGTGAAGCTTAGACCCAAAGAGACCTGTGATGTTCGTTCATCCTTGGTAGAAGACCCCGGAAGGGGGAATGGGCTGTGGGGATAGAAAATGCAACAGCAGTGTTGTGTCCCATATCTCATTAATTCTTCCTTGTAGCTGTACACACATATGTTGTGTCTTTCTTGCCTGCAGCTGATGAACTTAGGTGCCTGCTGTTCATATTCGTGGTTAGAAATAAGGAACTTGACTCCCTATGTATCCTCTGGCTAGAAGGGGGTAATATAGTCGTCTTTGGGGGTGTTGCTTAATTGCTCCATAAAGTGAATCCGATTATCTTTAATAGTTTGCCAATTATGAGACCTATCTCCATAGAGAGCTATGCCAATATTGAAAGTGAGGTGGCACCCAGCGGGCAATCTCTCTTGGGCATTCGAGCCTGAGCTTTGTGCCTGCGTTGTTCCAGCGAGCAATGGGAATTTGGGAGTGAGGGCAAAGCAAAGGGTGGCAACAACCTGTGGGGCTGAGGCAGAGGGGAACAGAAAAAGGCAGAAGGACTGAGTGCCAAGTGTGGAAACATCGAGCTAAAAGGCAGTGTTAGCCCAACAGATGGGTGTAAATTGGCCTGAATAAATCTAATTGGAAGCTGGATTTCTCACATGAGAACAGTGAGGTTCTGGGACCACTTTCCATCATGATAGCAGATGCAGGAAAGTAAGTTTGTTTGTTTGTTTTTTTTAATGGATCCTAGTAAGTTATCAATAGGATTGAGATGTGAAATAGCAGAGTGCTGGATTCAATAATAAGAAATCTTTGCATCTGTGGTAATTTGCTTTGAATTGGTGGGGTAGCATGACCCTCCTATTGGCCTTCATTCTTCTAACGCTCTCTTTTCCCTGCTAGGTTGTTGACTGAACTCGAATCTCCTTCTTGGTGGCCGTTTAGCAGCAAGCTCTGGAAAACGCCATTGGAAGCCAAGCCAAAGGAAACGGCCACAGTTTCCGATTCAAAGAACCAGGAAGGAATCATAATTAGAATTCCAGTTATTATCACCCACAGAACAGACTCAAATGTCAAGCCAGGAAAACTCACGCTCCTCGCTTCTGGCCTGGAAATCAGTGACTGCAATTCTCAGGTCATTCACCGGTTTGAATCAAAAGATGTAGATGATATCAGAGTTCATACGCCATATGAAATCAGTGTTCGCCAGAGATTTATTGGTAAGCCTGATACCTCTTACCGGCTGTTGTCAGCGAAGATGCCAGAAGCAATCCCGATCCTGGAGATGCAGTTTAGCAAGAAGATACAGTTTTTAGAAGATGCCCTGGGATTTGTTGGTGCCAGGAAGTCTCCTCAGGTAGATTTGGGCACCTCCATTTGGCAAGCAGGTATGTGACAGACCGTGATCCATCAGTGAGCAATAACACTAGCTCCGAAAGCTTCCAGGTGGTTTTCGAACTCAGAATATTGTGTGATGTTTACAGGGCAAGGCCTTTCCTCCCTGCCCTAGCAGTGAGGCTATGTTGTTGATAAAAAGCAAGAAATAACTGGTAGTTGACTTCAGGCCCTCTTGGCAAGAGGAAGGGTGTGAGGGTAGAGGTGACAGAAGTGTGTGGTCTTGTTTGAATATAGTTGAATTTGCTTTCTCAGGGATACTTTAGGAAAATCTATGAGCGTAGATGTTGAATCCGAGGTGTCTCTAGGGGCCTGACTGTTGGAACATGCCAAGCGCTCTTTAATGTCGTGCTCTCAGCTGGTGTTTTCACAAACTGCACCAATTTGTGAGAAGGATTAGTTTAATCCGAGTTTCTTTCAACTGCTGGTTTGCTTTTTAACTCCAATGTCCTTCTTTTTTCCAGTGTCACCAATTCAGTATTATGCCCCTCTGTGGAAAGGGTAAATCCACTCTCCTTTTCTGACTGCATGATTCCGAGTCTTGTATCGTTGCTATTTTACTTTTGGCAGTTTGAAGCTGGAAGCATCTCTTTATTAAACCTGTTTTCCAGTTAATTGAAGAAAGTTTAAAACAAACTTCCAGTTCAACCAGTTTTTAAATTATATGCTGGATAAACATTATGTTAACAAAAACTGAATTCTATTTTTTGGAAGGGAAAATTATTTGAGAATTTCAGCTTTCTGGATTAAAGAAGAAACTGAGTTTGGTTTTCTGAGATTTTAGATCTCTGATTAGATGACTGCACGGTTCAGTCACGTTAAGAAAACACGGCAGGAACTGAAACCCTTCACAACAGTAATAAAATACCTTACTACTATTGCTTTTTCTAAAGTTTTGTAGGAGGTTTTTTGTAATCCAAGCCTGGATTCACCAGCAGAGCCGGTGAATCTTTGTCTTTAAGAATTTAATACTATGAAAACATAACTGGATCTTATCTTTTTCTTACTGATCAGTGACAGAAGAACAAACCTGTGAGTATTTTTTTTGCCAGTATATTAAAAATGAATAGAAAAATGATATAGTAAAACAATAGATGGGTCTATTTCTGTGCACCAAGCTAAAGCTGGACTTCAGCAGGGAGGATAATGTTCTCTTGTTGACGAGCTGTCAAGGGCCATAGCTTGGAAAAGGTTGTTAATTTTTAAGGAAGTAAGTCTTGGGCATCTGGCACTAAAATGTCAGCACAACAACTTAGAGGAAAAACAACCTGCTGGTTTCTTGAGCACTGAGTTATTCCAGCAAAGTGGTGTTCAGTTCCTGATGGTCTTAAGGCTGGTTACATAAAATAATTAGTTATACAGCCCTGCTGTGCTTGATTTCCCACTGCTCTACTCTGTTTGCATCTGAGTCAGTGAGTCAAGGATATTGCTCTCCTACCGCCACCTGCATTTTGGCTGTTTGATTTGGAAATGTCAATGAAGAGAACTGGAGGTTATGGAAATCATGACTTCTCCAGCTCCACCAAAACCCTTGTTTGTTCCTTCCCTGGAGTCTGTCGCTGTCCGTCTTCTGTCACAAGGTGGCAGTCATGGACTGTGTTTTAACCTGTGGGGTTTTTCCATAGCTGCTCACGTGGTGGAAATAGTGATTTTTTTTTTTCTTTTTTCCCTGAAAGAAGGGAAAAAAGTCTGTGTGTACACAGGAGCAGATACGCATCACGCATGCACTATCTGAAAACACACACAGAAACTTTGCGTGTTGCCTCAGAGACGTATAGCAGAAATGTCTTTGCAGTGGAGGTACGTTTGTCTCAGGGAACTGGCTCGTAGCATTTGCTGCTCTTCGCTCTGCAGTGCTGAGTAAGGAGCATCATTTTTAACTGTCGTGGTGTCATCTGGATGCTACCTACTTTTACAAGTACTGTTTTCAAGTTGTGCACCTTGCACGTTTGCATAAACAAATGCAACAAAAGAAACCCCTGTCCTTCCTAAGAGTTTTCACTTGATTTCATATAGAAAAAGGAGGTTTGAAGTGTTTTGTATCTGAAGCTGTTTTAAAACTGCTTTGCCTTCCTTTTCTGACTATTCTTTTGGACTAAATCGGATGGGATTTTTAATTGCACGCTAAGGACAGAGCAGAGCAAAGCTTGTTTTGTAACAGAGGTTCTCCCACGCTGGATCAAACCAGTGCTTTTCCTAGCTAGTAATGCGTTCGGTAACGGTAGATAACAGCTGCCCTGGAAAAAGGTGCGAGAAATCCTACAGTGCGTTTGTGGTATAACAATCCGAAAGCGGTGCTGTCTTAATCCTGCAGCTGAAAACCGGCGTTCATAACTTCTTATCCCTTTCAGAGTTCCTGAATGTTTAGTGCCGACCGCTGCGTTCTCGTCGGGTCTCCAGTACTTTGTTCAGAAACTTGGCGATTCCTCATCCTCGCTTGGTGCCAGCGCAACGGTCCAGCTCGGTGTAACCAAACCAAATTTGCTCTGCAGCCCCTTCTAAATATTTCTGCCTTTGTTTTCGCTTGCCCCTCCTTTTTAACAGAAAACTGAAGAGAAACGCCTGATCTCCTTCCCCGTCCCGTTCTTTTTGCGCGCCTTTGCTGTGGCCTCCTCCTGTTCTCGTCTTCAGTAAGATGAATGGAGTGAGGTGGATAGATTTCTTGTTTTTAATGAAATAATTAGCGTACGGGGACATTCAGCTGATAAGAAACACAGAGAAGCTTGTCTGGCTGTTTGCTGCGATAGGAAAGTCTGCGGTTCCCTCCCCCTGGTTTGTCCTCTACGGGAGATCGCAACAGTCGTTTGCCGTAAGCGGTGTTTTCGTGCGCTTGGTTCCTAGCCTCTTCGAATTTGAGACGTGTTTGGGCAGGGTCACAGCAGTACAGTGAATGACCCGCTTGTCTTAAATCTTGAGTCCGGTAACTCTCAGACTGATAACCGACTAATTCCAGGGATTATGATTTTGCCGTAATTACTTGAGAAGGATTTAGGGTTTGGTACTTCTGTTTTAGCTTTTGTCTCCCTTTCCGCGGAGCAGAAATGCTATCCAAAGCAGCCGAGCGTATGTCGTCGGCCAGCCAGCTGGGCACCAGCTCTTCGGACTCGCGGTGAGCTCTCGCCTCCGACTTGCTTTCTGTCCCGGTGTCTCCAACAGCTGCTGTCACTGCCTTGTGCGAGGTCGGGCGGTGCGCTCGCAGGTGGCAGCGAGAGCGTTGGCTTCCTTCCTTCTCGGTGCCTCTTTAAGTGAGAGAGCGCTTCGGAGATGTTTGGAGCACCTCTAGAAGCTGAGATGTTTGTCTTGGGTGTTTAGCACTCATCTACATCAGAAGTAACAACCCTTCCTTGCTGCGTGTCCCTGCCACCCTACTGGGTAGTATCAGATACTGCAGCAAGAGCTGATGCTTTAAATAAGACAGGTGGCATGTTACACCAGGAATCGCATCCCCGCTGCTTAGCGGTGGGTGGCTGCTAGCGTCGGGATGGTCCTTCTGTTGCAGAGGTGTGCTGACTTGACTCTTGGACTCTGTCTGTGATCCACCACCTTTAATTTCTTTAATTTAAAAGATTAAAGTGAGAAGAGGCAGCAGAGGAAGATTCCTCATTTTATCGAATTGGGAACGCGTTGCTGCTTCTTTGCCCTCTGTTCGGATGAACGCCCCGAGCACAAAATAAAGCTGTTCTCCAGGCGCTGCCTTTAATAGCGGGTCGTCTATTGGCAGCCTGGTATCCTCCGGTTTCTGTATTGTACAAAATACAGCTGGAAGCCTTTCTAGAAGAATACAGGTTGGGCAAGGCAAGGTTGGGCTTAGCTTCTCTAAGTGCGCTTGTCCCCCTCCGAAACTGCTGCTGAGCAAAGCACAGATCAGTGTTTGCTGTTACCACTAGTCTTCTCCGTTATTGCAGGAGATGGCAGTCTTTGACCATGGGAATTTCTCTTGCAGCCACAGGACTCCTGGGAGGCGTGGTGCAGCCCGGCTCTCCGGTGGGAGGCGGAGAAGGGATGGACAATGAGCAGGTTCAGCTGCAGAGTCAAGAACAGATCTCCGAGTCGGAAACAAAAGAGCTTAAACAGGTAGAGTTGAGATAACCCTGTCTGTGGTTGTATATAATGGTCACTTCACTCCTTCCTTAGTAACGTGTATTCTTCATTCGTCAGAAACATAGTCTGCTGTCGTTAAGAATATATTCCCTGACTGTAGATAGATGTATTTTAAAAACTAGTCAGGCCTGTGATCAAAATACATTGATAACCTCCTGTTTGTTTTTAACTCTTTTAGACAAATTGGGAATTAGCAGCAGCCTAAATATATCAAACGAGGGTCATAACCCAAGGAAAACCCTCAAGTTTAAGCTGTTTCCTCTGAAGATTAGAGAGTTTAGCAAGTACACATATCACTTCAAGCTTTCCTGTGTTTTCTCTATCCTATCTTACTCCTTTTACCAAGGAGCAGCAGTTCATTTTCAGAAATATCCACAAACCTGAGCAAAGTGTTTTGTAAACATGCAAGGAGAACCTGTAGTTGGGAATTAAGTGTGAAATCTAGCAATTGCATAGATGGAGAAGGGGAAGTGGTTGGAGACTCTGCTAGGGAAAAAATTATTTATTTAAACTCATCCAGTCTGGTATTGTTTCCTTAAAGAACCATTTAGGGGATTTATCTTGCAGCTGATGTTTAGAGTCATTTTAGTGAAGAAACCTTCTCTATCCATAATATGTAGTTACATGAAACAGTGAACTAACTGGGAAAGCAAAGAAATGTGGTTTTACTTGTTTTTCAATTAAAATAGATTTACTGGTGGTGATTGCAGCCACATCAGAAAATGTGGTTACAGATTAAAGATTCTCTTGAAAGTTTGTTCCTATCTTTTTTTTTTCTAGCATCTCATTCTCTCTTTACTACTCCATCTGTAGTTTAGCGATAGCATCATGGGAAGTCGTTGATAACCCTATTGCCTCTCAGTCTAGACTGCAGTTTTGCAGCCCCTGTCTTTTATTTTATAAATGGGAATTAGAATACAGCAGCTTTTCATGGCTGAGTGCACTTGAGAGTCACGAGCTCATAGCAGTGACTTAAGAGTGACTAAAAATGACAAACTGCGAGAAAAATGTTTATTAAAACTAACCCCAAGGCAGTTGGGTAGGTGAGGGTTTAACTTGCGCAGATATCCAAACTTCTGAAGTTCTCTCTGCTGGATAGTGGACCAAAAACAGTGTTAAATGCTAGTGTTATTTAAAAACAAACAAACCAAAAAACCCAAACAAACAAACAGCAAAAACCCCACTGTCAGGATTCACAAGAGCCAAGAGCCAATTGCAGTCTTTATTCATACTATGCCAGGCCAAGAATTTTTAAATCGGAGCGCTCTCCCTTGGCTTTAGAAGCAGCGAGGTGAGGAGCTCGAAGCTGCATCTCAGTAAGCCTTTTAATGGACATCTAAGGTATGTCAAGGTTTTAATCTAAGTTTGTTATCCATGTTCAGCCATTCTGTAGTTGGGAAGCAAGTGAAGCCCGTAAACAGAATGCAGGGCAGGGAGGCCAGAGCCCTGTGTCTTGTTTTCAGCTGTGTGACCTTAAGAAGTCAGTCATGATCTAGGATGCAGGGTTCTCCTTGCTGAGATGTAGTCTGCTGCTTTTTCCTTTTGTCAACGTTTCACCAATGAGCAGTACAGGCAGTGGTCTTAGACAAGCCGTTGGTGCAAGCTTTCTTGTTGCAGCTGCTCTCAGATGCTCGGCACCACATCAGTTCTTCTCCTGCTTTGAGAATGAGCAGGACATGATGGCTGATGGTTATAAGTATAAAGTGCTAATGTGTGCTGAAGACAATAACAACCGTAACATCACACTTCCGTGAGTGAGCTAAAGGTATTTGGGGTCCCTGTACTGATCACTACAGCACTTTTCTGAGCCGTTTCCTCTCTTGAAGACTGTTCATGATCTTTTTTATTCCTTGTTTATCTTTAATGCAAGCGTATGTTTTAAAAAAACAAAACAAACATCCTAAACCCAGAAGAGCTCTGTTCTAACCCTCTCTCTACCTGTGATGTGGAGAAGACCAGTAGAATTTTTTTTAAATTGGAGAGGTAAGAAGAGGAATTTGTGATAAACAGATAACCTTCTTCCCCATTGCTTAGCTTTCTCTCCGGTTGACTTCTCTTCCTCTCTCAAAAACATCTGCTCACAGAGTGATAACAATAGATGTTTTGCAACAGGACTTGCTGAATTGATATTAAATTCCTTCCATTAGAGCTGGAAGCGCTGAGCAGTCTGGAATTGCGATTGGGTGCCTGAGTAAAAGACCTCGCCAAGACTTCATGAAGGGACGTTTATGTTAAAAATGCAGAGCTGGTGGCGGTGTGAGCTGTGCTCCTAAGCTGTGCTACAGAGATGGAGAAAGAAGCCCGCGGAGTTCCTGTGGTCTCTGGCTGAGCTTCTGCCTACCGCCTCGCTCTGGCTGACATAATGTCACTGGGTGTGGGAGGGGATGTGATAATATTGGCTTAAGGGCTGTGGTCGAGGAGGGGGAGTAGGAGTTCTTGTTCTAGATTTGAATTTATTTTGCCAAACCAATGCTTTCTAACTTCCCCTCTGCTAAGCCTCTCCTGCCAAAGAACTGTTGCCCTGATATTTACTCTGTCTGTACATTGTGTATGCCATAAAGACAGAGACAGTATATAAAGAAGTTAATTCTGTAACATTTGAGAAATCGCCCGTCCCGATGACTATCTTTGTGATGTTTCCTTGGTATCTCTTCCGTTCTGCATGGTTCCATTTCAGTCCTTCGCTATGTTCGGTCTCTTCAGTGCTTATTTACCCTTTTGTCATGCCCTCATCTCAGGAAAGCACAACTGTTAGGTCAGAGAAAAGGCGTTTTGTTGAGAAACTGTTCGTTCTGAGTGCTAAATACTAGATTTGCTCATAGGATGGCCATGTGCCACGGCCAGTAGCGAGCGACAGATGAGTAGTCTTAGCGGACACATGTAACGATCGTGCCCTGAATTTTTTTTTGTTTTTGTTCTGAAGGCAGAATCTGGGGAGAGAGCTGAGGTCCTCACAACTAACGCTTTGTATTTGCTTGCATGTAACTTAAAGATTTGATGGTACCAAAATAAAAAGCCGTAGTTAAGCCTGTGAAACTGCTTGGGTGTGTTTTTTCTAGACAAGACCAGGGAGTAGACTTTGCCCCAGCACCCAGTACTATGAGTGCTTGGTACACCCTGAGAAAGTAGATAAAATCAGACTTCTGCATCAGCCCAAGAAGAAATAACAGGAGAATCGGCCACTAAGAATAAGATAAGAAATAAGTAATTAGCAGCCCTTTCATCCTCTCCTAACAGCCACAGGCCCAAAACAGCCGATGCTTTAAAATTTGACTACTGTTGTATGCTTCAGATGTAAGGTACCTGCTCTCTTCTCAAACTTGCTTGTTCCAGTAGTTTTCGAACTGTCTATACTAGGAGGTTTTGTGCTACAAGAGGTGGCCCGAATTCCTAGAGCAGGTAGAAGTGCTTCTGCGGTGACTGGTTTAGAGTTTTGGGTAGTGTGCACCCAATGCAACTCCAAATTGGACAAAAAACCATCTGTGCTTTGCATAGCTACAGACAAGCGCTGATAGCTGCGATCCAAAACTACCCAAACAGAGCACGTTAAAGCAGTGCAAATGCGTATCTTTTTGCTATGGCAAGTGGCGTATGCCTTTTTCTTACTTGTGTCACATGAGACTTTGACAAATGTCCTCTAGTGAGTTGTGCTGTGATAGTTTAAGATGGTGTTGCTCCAAGCTGCTTCCCTGCTTCTCTCCAGATGCAGCAGGACAGGATGTGGGCAGGCCCCTTAATTGCTTCAGTGCAAAGTCGCTCGACCCGTAAGTGTGAGTTTGATTTCGGAATGAGACTATGAATTGAAATATTTTAGGTCTGCTCCTCGCCCCCACCAGCTCTTCTGCGTTGTGTTAAGCACAGAGGTGGAGCCGTGTGTTAAATCATCGCGGTTACCGCTCTCAAAACCTTTGTTCACACCACAGTTCATAGCACTGCAAATGATAGTTCCTTACTTACTAGTGACTAATAGGTGAATTTGGCTGAGGGAGTCGCATCCAAGAGCCGTTTCTGATTTTGGGTTCTACGTGCTCTGTTCTAGCATTCAGGCCTCATCCCAGTTACTCAGGGATAACAGAGTAGGTTAAGCGAGGATTTCAAGGGGTTCAAACTGGTGGACTTTCTTGTATTCCAGCACGTTCTTTACCTTAGTTTCAGTGCCAGATACTCAAGTGTACTGAGATGGTATTTCAGAAGCTTTAGCTAAACTGCATTATTATGCTGGCAGCTCAGGACCCCAGCTCAGGCCTCCACTGTCAGGCCTTCAGGATACAAACCATTTTTGTAGTGGGCCTGATGCTTTGGGTTTAGGCCTTCGGGTGATGCGGCAAAGGCATAAATAACTGTGTTAAGTACTGAGCAAGTTCTTGGGCTTGGGTTCATCACCTGTCACTCTACGGCTCTGCGCTGTGAGTGTCTCCAGCTAAGCTAGTCACCTGGGCTCCCACTGCAGCTGGAGGAGAGAAAAAGTGGGAAGATTAAGTTACTTGCCTAAAGTTGCACAGAAAGTCGGTGTCAGAGCTGAGGGGCTAAAGCAGACTTACCAAATTATAATCCTATGGCATAAATCTGAGGCTGTTCAAGTTTGTCTCGATGTGAGGATAAGCACTGCTTGAGGGAAGTGTTCCTTAAAAACGTCTTTGATGGAATCATGTCTGCTGTTTGGCTTTACGTTACAAATAGAAAAGTGTTTCACGCTGAGTTTTTCGCGTCTTGATTGACAACCCAAATTATGTTCTGGCGCGGAAGGCATCGCTTATCTTAGCAACTGGCAGAACTAGAGTACTGATAATTAGACATCTTGCCATCGTTTTGCTTTGCAAAAATAGTGACCAGGTTTGGCCAGACTTCAAATTCCAGTAGCTGATCCAGCAGGCTGTGGGAGCTGTGCTAGAAGAGCACCTTAACCATTTCAGATCCCGCTGGGTAGACAGTAGCACTCAACTTGAGCACTTGAAGATGCTAACAGATGAAGGGTTAAGGGATTTATTACCAGACTCTTTTAGGCAAGGAATTAACAGATGAAAGTGAGCCATTTGCTTTGCTTCTTTTTTTCTTTTCTTTTCTTTTCTTTTTTTTTTTTTTTTTTTAATATGAGAGACCACATCATCATTGCCTGCAGTGTTTCAAGTCAGAGCCTAATTGGCAGGTAAACCGAGTAGAGCCCTGTAGCTGACTAAATTTCCGCTTTACTGCTTGCATATTTTAAAAGCTTTTCTGTTCTCAACAACTGTGTCTTTTTGTGTATTTTAAATGTTAGTATGCTTTAATGAATGTGAAGCCCATCAAAAGCAATCTAGTTTAAAACTAAAAATGAAGTGTTTTTCATGGCAAATCTGGGCATTTGTGGGCACACTTTTAATTTACAAATAAAGTTGGTGCCTCTTTGAGAGAAGACAGGGGTGAGTGTCCCTGGTTCCTTTCTATATCTTCTTGTGCCACCTCCCAAATTTGCTGCGTAGGTGCGTTTGAGGCTTGCACTAAGTGTAATCACGTTTACCTGCTGCACTTACCTCGGCAGATTTCACAAATTAACATCGGTTGGGTGAGGACGTTACTCGGGAGCACTGAAGTTGACAGGCTGCTTGACAGTGCTTGATGAGAGATAGCCAAAAGCGTGCCTTGCGGCAGCCGAAGATGGGGATCCTGGCTGGACAGAGGAACTTTTCTGGCGCTTGCATTAAGCCAGTGATCTTGAAGGCGTCAGCAGACACTGCTGTTTTTGTTCTGCTGTGCTGAAAAGCAAATTTCTGAATGCTTTTGCGTAAAATGCTTGGGAAATTTGTTGAAAGAGTGCTGTCGGGGTCCTCTTTAAACCATCCGCAAATTGAGATTGTACATATATATGTATAGAAATGTTTATTTTTTTAATGTATGTATATATGTACACACATAAATGGCTTCGATTGAGGAGAGAGGGCAGAAACAGGGAGAAAGTATCCCGAAACTTCCAGGAAAATAAACTGTTAATGATGGTATATTTTCACCAAAAATTTAGCAATTTAATCTCTCAGAGCCCAGATTTCCTGTATGCTAGTCCTTCTGTGTGGTAGGTGGCAAGGGTGAGCTTGAACCCAGAGCTCTGTCCTTGCAGCACACACCTCTCGCTGCCATCCTTTAGGATGTGCTGAAGCAGTGAGATCTCCCTTCTGTTAAATTAGTATAAAGACTTAAGCATTTACTGGAGCGGAAACTGAAACCCAGTGATCTTTTCTATAAACTGAACTTTGAAACTGGCCCTGCTCTTAGTTGGAGGAAGTGGACCAGATGACCTCCAGACGTGTCTGCCAGCCTTAATTATGCTGTGATTTTTATTAACGCAAATCTACATTCAGTGTTGCTTTGCAGGAGTCATTCTATGTAGTAGTAGCTACTTTATGTTGTATATCTATATGTCTGTATAGATATATAATTATCTGAGTGGAAGAAGCTCAAAAGAAGGACTGAGGGAGGGCCACCTCTGAACTTCCCACATCCTAGAAGTCAAGGCACTCCCTCGAGAGAGTCGAGACCCTGCTTCACATCTGTGTCCTGAATCACACTGAACAAATTCAATCACGTCATTTGCCTTTTTGGTGCATATCCTAAACACATCTGCCACCCCCAGTTTGGGGAATTCAGCCTCGCTTTCCTGTTAGGCTGCAAGAACCTAACGTGTTTCAGTTGGGACAGAAACAGAATTTTCTCAGCTTGTAGTTTTGGTAAGAACAGAACAAGGTAGATTAGGCTTGATCCGTGGTTTGTTGCGTGTTCTTACTTTGGCAGCCAAATTGCAAAAGCAGTTATTCACACAGCCGTATTTCTAGCTGCTTGTGATTTATGGAAGGAGCTGGGAGATATTTTATACGATAAACATCACTGCTGTGGCTAACATCCAGCTTGAGCTGATGCATTTTGTCTATATAAAATTCCCCTGCCGTTCCAGTTAGATATGATATTGCTCACCGCTTCTCTCAAAGCGGTGACTTGTGTAACTACAGACTGTTGAACTGCTACGGAATGCAGCCCCAGATGTGGAAAAAGGGACTGCCGATGTTTGACAGCGACTTTCTGAGAGCTTATTATATATGTTCTAAAGCAACAACAAAAAAGCAGAGTTTGAAGTGCTAACAGTTACGCAACAAAAATTTAGACCAAGGAACAGAGTACACCTCTTTTGCCTTACTTTACCAAAAAGCCACAGATGTATCATGCTAAACAGGTTGCAGTACTGGTATCTTTAGTAGTATTACTTAGATGCTAGTTACTAAATTACTATCTAGGTAATGTAGTAATATTACCTGGTACCACCAGAGTTGATGTCATGGACCAGTGGTGGTAGGATAATTTGTTTTCTTGGCAATTACTATTTACAATTGATTGGTTAAGCTCCTCTTATGAACCAGGCAATGTGTTATTGTCAGGGATCCTTCCGTGGATGTCTAAGGTAGGCGAACGTGTAGTCCAGTGGTGACAGCAGAGGAAACCACTTTCTAATCTGAGGGAACTGAGAAGCCGCATACCTCAATCCACATGTAGGTTTGTCTTCCAAATCTCTAGTTGATGCATCTAAGGAAATGCAGCTGAGTCTAGTCCAGTCAAACATGCTGGACAGGTCGTTTCGCTTCGCGCTGACAGACTTCTTAAGGGAGTAGCCACAAGGGGGAAGAAAAGGCAATGATATAACGCATGCCTTAGTCTACTGCTAAAAAAGAGCCAACCTTACAGGGTAAGGAATTAAACAACACAAGAGAAATCCATCGTAGATCTTTGTTCTTGGAAACTGTTGTGTGAACTGATAAAAATTAGAAGTCAAAAAGCCATAAAGATCAGTGTAGGTGATCGTTACGGATGTCTCTTGGCCTTAAGAGTTTGACAACCAAGCTTTTTCACTCTCACTTCAGAGGTTTTTGCCCTCTTTGGACCACTATTTGTAGGGGTTTTCAGACAAAGTGTCTTATGGCAATCATAGAGTAACTCTGGGTGTTTGCTTACAATCACACATGCAAACAGTAACCTGTGAAGTGTAGCATAAATTGGCTGCTTAGTAGTATAACGCTTAACCTGGATCAGGGCTGTAGCCAGTGCTTAAGTTGTTTCTCATCTTGGGTACAGCCTGAGTCTCTTTGACCACCTTGGCATCTATTCATGCCTTATCACCTCTAGTCCCTTGAATATGCTTTTGCTTAGTTGCCTAGTTCTCTCTTCTTCCCTTCTGCTCCACCCCGTGCCACTTCTTTCTCCAGCAGATTGTAATAAAACAACTTACCCTGTTCTTCTTTGACTTGATCCCTGCTTAACCTTTAGTCAAAATGCTTTCCGATTTTGCAGCAGCGGTGTTCACAACCCACGTCAGCTCTCAGGATGTGTGGTAAGTACCTCAGGACAAACTGCTTCTCTAAGATGCAGACCTACCAAGGAGATAATAACAGAGCCAACAAAAACTTGAATTTACATTGATTTTTACCTCTGATTTTTTTTTTCCTAGCATTTCAGAGTTGATACTTCTGTGCTGTAGTCGAATTCAGTGTTGCACATCTCAGTTCAGTTTATCAGCACAAGAATTGCATCTTTTTTCCCTAGGATGTTGCCAGCAGAATTGAGGGCATGAGTTCGGCAAACGTTATGGCCATTTAAAGCAAAGAGTTAACTAATTGCCACGTTATCTGTAACGCTTCTTGAAGAGCAGGCTGGATCATTCACTGAAAGCTCTCAGTCTTTTCTTCTGACAGATCCTAAAGAAACTGAAGGGCCTTGCCTTAGAAGCAGAGGCAGAACTGGAGAGACAGGATGAAGCTCTCGATTCCATCACCACCTCTGTAGACCGAGCAACGTTGAATATCGACAAGCAGAACCGCAGAATAAAGAAACTAACGTAGCCCCCACAGCGGCTGCTGGGGATGGTGACATGAAAAAAAGGAGGACTGGGGAACTGTATTTTTAAAGACTGTTTCTTTATAGACCCTTTGATTTTATGGGAGCTGTTTGCAATATTGTCTGGAATACTGTGCTGCTGATGTGGGATTTCAGAGAGGGGAGTTGCGAAAATGTTTCCAGACTTGGCTGGTTTTTGAAGACCGTTTCAGGATTAAAAACGCCAAGGTTTTTAATCGTGTGAAACAATGGTAGTGAATTCCTTGCTACAGATAATCTGTAAATATGAAGTGGTGTGATTTCATCTGAATCAACTTTTATGCTGCTGTTTTATGTTACTGCTTTTGAAAGGCATTTTTTTTATTGCAACAAAGAAATGAGGGAGAAATAAACTGCCTATGAGACTACTTTAGATGATTACAGCCTGTTAATTCTCTCTCAAGGTCTTTCTTGAAAATAGCTAATACCTGAACCAAGGCCCAGATGTCTAACTGTAAGTCATTGGGACTTTTTTTGTAAGTTAGTGCTGAAGTGAGCAGAAGATGGTGATAAAACCCTGTGATCATTGAAAGAATAGCTTTAATAGGTTTCAGTTACGTTTTTAATGTACTCAGGAATTTCATAAGAGTAGTGAAGGGTTAGTGGCCACTGCTCTATGTTGCCATATCCTGGGAAAGCAAGAAGAGATGGATAGTTAATACGGATAACATGTGTTGGATACATGTTATTGGTTGAGACATCTACTTGATGAGCAGATTTAGCTGTGTTGTCATTGAGCAAGTGTTTTGCTTACTGAAGTCACTTATTAAAAGTAAGTGTCAGAGTTAAATATATGCTTCTCTTTTCCAAAAAGGCATTGCTGATTCTTGATGATCGTCTGCAGGTTTTTGTCATGATCCCTGGCCCCCGTTTTAAACCACACAATTAAGGAAAGAATTAATTCCGGAGAGGAGGCAGTGATTTTCTTCACCAGCACATTTGTTCAGTACATCTCTTCGAGCGCACTGCATGTATCCTTCACTCGCACACAATGCCTTTGTATTTTTTTGGTAATAGTCAGATGGTTGCAGTGTCCTCAGAACGATATCAACATAGTGCGCAGTTAATTTGTTGCCTAAATACCTTGTTGGAGCTGGGCTGCCACATCTCTTGTGCCTGTGAGCGGAAGGATTCTTTTCCCTTTGCTTATCTGTCCTTCATTTCCAGGGAACTCCCCATTGTTTATCTCCAGCCATTTAGATGTGGTCTTTACGGGGAGCATTTTTGTGTGTCAGCTCCAGATGCTTAGGTTCAGGGACCGATAGCTGGAGCTGCAGTCACCTCTGTATCGTTTGTTGTAGTGCAGTCCATCTATCTTGCAATTACTATTTATTTGCACTAATTGGGGGTGAAGCATGTCAAGACTTCTTGTAGTCCTGTGCGTCTAAAGTAAAAGGCAATCGCTATCCATTAGATTTCATTGAGTTTACAGTTAGCTTCCTCTGGACTGCAAATGGTGGAGACCTTTTCCTCTCCTAACTCATTGGCTGCTACCTAGAAAAGAGTCCAGATTAACCTATATATACTGCCTGTAGCAGAGAACTTGAAAGACAGACTTGCTGGTCACCTCACGTTTCAGTGACTTCTACAGTTTACCAACTATTTTAGTTCAAAGTAACTGTTGTAATCACTTCATTCTTTTTCGAGTGTTTTAATATTTGCAGAATTCTTCTTGTGTCGCTTTCCAAATACAATCCACAACACTATTGGTGCGATATTTTTAACTAGTGAAGCTTTGAACTGTTTATTCCACTGATAGTTGAGCTGATTTTTTTCCTGTTTTCAGAGTAATACAGCCTACCTTTTAAAGAAAGGTATAGTAAATAACATAGAGTACGTTGTTTTCAAGACCTTATTCTACCTTGTTTTGTATTACTTCATATTAGTTTCTTAGTATTGGAGTAAATTGTACTTCTGCACTGCAAGTCCTTCCTTTACAGTCCAAGTTGTTACTGGCATGCACTGTATCTAGTTGCTGAGTATGGTGATTATATATACATCCACAATATGTACTGTGAAATAAAATATTGTCTGGGGTTCTATTTCTTGATTGTTTCTGATACCCAAATCACTGTTGTTGTACTGTAAGGAGAAGATAACGTTTACATAAGTAATTCATTAATTTAAAAATACACTTTGCACAAAATAGATGTTAACTGAACCTGGTGTTGACTGGGAACGGATCTCTAACCTGAACTGGTCTAAACCAGGATTGCCAAAAATCCTAGATGCACTTAGTTTAGTTTAGCATTCTTTGTGCCATCATTTTTATTGTTGTGGTTTTTAGCATTAGCCATTGCATTTGATTCTGTACTTTGTGTTTTGTGTTAGTCTGACATGTCCATGCTTAACCAAAATTGTAGTGTTGTTTTTAAGAAGTGAACCTTTCTAGAGCTGTACGTTTGCTGCTGAGCTGAATTTCATCCGCCCGGAGGACTTTCAGTCTTATTAAATATCTTGGAATAGTGATTTTTCTCCCTTGCATTCATTTGGCTGGGAAGTGGTGATACAAACATTCTGCGCATTCTTTATCGTACTGTAGAACACAATTTAGAATTTTTTGTTTGGTTGTCTTGTAGCACAAGCTTTTTATATATATATAAAAAGTGGATTAGTACCAAGGTGGCTATCAGCCATCCTCATCTTGACAATATAGAAGGCTGGGGGTGGATGTCAGCACAGTGTGCGCAGTGTTTGCTATTCTGTCCTGGAGACCATTGCACAGAAGCTGCTTGAACTCTTAGGTAGGGGACTAAAAAAGCGTTTAACTGCTTGGATGGTTTATGATTCAAACAGCCTCTTGGAACACAAGTATAAAAATTTTACTCTGATCAGAGCTTCCTTTAAGAAGAAAAAATAATTCAGTTCTTGTAATTACGAGAATTACGTAGAACCTGCTAAGTTCCCTTTTTCTGGGCTGAGCTGAAGCGCTGTTATCTTCCAAGGAATATCACCGGTCGGGACTGGAGCTTCATGAGTGAAGATGCAACAAATAAGCTGTGAAAGAAAAAAATAATCCTGTTCTCAGTTCTTCAGTGGCTGTTATCTACATGAAGTTTAGAAACGTACCCTTAGGATAAATTATGCCTTGTATATGCTAAGTTTATAAGATCTTTGTATGTCTTTTACTCCATGTGAAAAGTGGGGGCCTCTGTCATTAAGATGCATAACAAAAACTCATACAATGGAGACTGTAATCTGAAGAAGGTTTACTTAGGAGGGCCTTTCAGCTCAGGCAGAGCAGAACTACGGCAGGCTGTATCATACGGTCGTTTTATAATCCCGTGTGTGTTCATGGCAGTAATGAGTGAGCCTGAAATGGCCAGAGCTTAAATATGTTTCTACACAGGAGTTTGAACGTCTTCTGTGGAATCACTGAAACGTTGGTGATAAACGTGGCACTTTGTAGTCCTCAGATGAGTGGTGTGAGGGGCCTTTTCAGGCAATTAATTGAACTAAAGCCTCGTAATATCTGTGTTTTGAAAAGCTGGTGCTTTGAAAACACTGATTTGTGCCTCACGGAAGGAAACGGAGCAAAGCTGCTTGCAAGTGTTCAAGTTTACCTCTGGCAGCAGCAATTGAGAGAGAAACTGTGCAACTTTTAATAGGGCAAGACATGGCAGCAGTAGCCCTTGCCTCTGCGCTGTGCGTGTGAGCAATGTCAAACCTCAGCCTGGCAGAGATAAAAATAGTTCTGTAGCTGTCCTAGTCATGGGTTTAATAGCTGAGGTTTGCAGAGTAAACAGCGCCTGGCTTGCCCAGCGCACCGGCGTTGAGTGTTTGTGACTCGCAGCTTGGCACGTGGTTCCCAGCAGGACTGCTTGAGCCTCCCCTTGGCGGACGCAGCGAGAAGCTGCCGTCTTGCAGAGACCGTCCCTGGGGCTTCGTCCGGCAGCCCCAGCTCGGGGACAGTAGCACAGCACGTGCTTGCTCATCCTAAACTGGCGAGCCCGGGCTTTCTCTGGAGAACGTGTTGCCTCGTCAAGGTAAATATAGCGCGTGAGGCCAGCTGTTTGTGTGCCAGGGCACTGAAGACAAAACAAGCACCCTGGATTCAAGCTGCCTCCTGTTGTAAGTGGAACGGTGTTTGCTTAATGGTTTAAAAGTCCAGTCTGGCTTCTGTCGAGTGGTTTAATTTTAAACCAGTTGGTTTTAACCCCTTTACGGTTTGGCAGTAGAGGGGTTAAAGTAGTTCAACACCAACCTCAGAAGCCTGAGTTCAGGCTTGATCTGGACTCTCTTGATCGCTCCCTAACCACTTAATTGGAGCCTGGGTCATTCACGCTAGGGAGAAGCAGGGGCTGAAGATAGCCACGAATGACGGTGGTCACAGTGTCACCTTGATAGCTATTTCCTTATAGCTGGCAGTGCACCTCGAGCACCCTGGCCTGATGCGCTGCGGTTCCTGATATTTCGTTAAGCCTTAAGCTGTCCGGTTTCCAAACAGTGCGTGTCTGGGTGTTAGCCATGTGCTGTGTTGCACTCCACTTTCCTACTTTGCATTGTGGATTTGGTGCAGCAAAGAAAAACTTACAGAGGTAGAACTCCTCAGCAGCAGCTAAACTGTTGAACCATCCACGGAGGTGGGACGGTTGCTAGTGAGAAGGAAGAGGGAGGGCATGGGGCTCATCCCTCTGATGAAGATGGTGTAGATGGGTTCAAACTGGCTTAAATGGCTGAGAATTTGCTCAGGAGTAGGCAGCAAAGAGCAAGCTTTGGAGGGCTGGGTTATGTCTGGAGGGTTAGAGCGGGACGGAGCTGAGGAAACCACGCTTGAGGCTTCTGGAGAAGGACATTTGCTGTATGCGTGCTCGTGTGCTAGGTGAGAACGGACTGCCTCCAACAGGAGATGGGAAAGGGCAGAGGGGTGAGAGGAAGGGAAGGGGAAAAGTGGCTCCATTGTTGAGGCAGAGGGCTGGCCCTTAGTCTGTCCGCATTTCATTTCTGGCAGCACTGCAGTCAGCCACATGTGTTGCTTAGGACTTGATTTAGATCATCTGTGTTGGAGTTAATGCTCCCTTTGGCCCGTGGTGATTTATATTAGCTGAAAACATGGATCTTTCCACTTTGTATTTGAATTGCTCGTCTACAACATGGCAATATTTGTTTCTCCTCTCTTCTGAAACCTAGCACAAACTAGCACAAAAGCAAGTAGTCTTGAGCCCTAAGTTACGTTCAAAGTGCCCACCCTAGCACAGACACAAGCTAGAAGTTCCTTTTGTATTTACAGGAGCAAAAACAGCACTTCTGGATAGTGTGAGTGAATATTGAACTCATCACTGCCTCCTGTGAGTGAGGTCCTGGACGTTCCTCGCTTTGCAGTTAGTGGAAACTGAGTCACCAGACTGATCAACAGCTTTGTTAAGGATCAGTATGCAGTGGGGCTAAATCCCAAACTGAATTGGGATCTCTGAAGTGTAGGAAGGACTGGGACCATCTTTTAACACTCGGTGATGATCAAGAGTCTTATCATCATGTAGTGTTTATCCTAGGCTTGTCAAACACATGCTGTTTGGCATTTTGCTTCTAGATTAGACAACGAGTGTGAATTTCTGTGAGCTTCGATGCAGAACATCTATAAGGACTTCTTTAGTCCTTTTGACTAGAGAAAGAAACACCTAGTCGGAAATGTTCTGATTTGTTCCATATTGCACATGTTCTTAATGTGATGGTTTTTATAGCGGTGAACGTTGTTTACAGCCATGAAGTCACAAATAGAGACAGAAGAAGGTAATTACAGGTACGTAGCAATGCCAAGGGCTCCCTTCCATTACGGCATCTCCATTCAGCGCTTACAGTGTTGCCAAGATGCTGAATGCCAGAGGCTGAAAAAGGAATCTGTATTCAGTGAAACAGTTTTCGGGTCTTGAATTCTCCTTAAGAAATGAATCTGTTGGTCTGCCTGCATTCTTTTCCTTGTAACTTTGAAATAAAAAGCAAACCACACCGCAGGGTTGCATCTTTCCTCTATTGTATTATATAGATGCTATTAATCACAGGTATTTTATGCAGAGGTTGGGCTGAGTTTTTGACTGGGCTTGCTGGGTATGCTGCACTGCAAATGCTGGAGAGTGTATCAGTTTTAATACATCTCTCGGTGTGCACAAAGTTTTGTAAAAATCACTGCCTACATTGTACAGAGATAACAAAGGCATAGAAATTGGTACATACCACAGTAGGCTTCAGAATTCGTGTTTGCTTAAACAGACTACCTGATTTTGAAGATCAGAAAGAACCACCGTGGTCACCTGCCTTAGTTTCCAATATGACTGTTTTCCAGGCCTTCACCTTTAGCTAAAACAACTCTGAACTGAAAAACATCTTTTCCAGAAAGTCAGAATCAAGGTATCAAAGTGCCTTCAAGTGGTGATGAACATATCAAACCTCTTGCTCTACTTTTCTCTACAAATGCTTGTGGTTTCAGGGGACTGGCAGCTCTGACAGCCAGGTTTCATGTGTAGTTCCCAAATTGTGGACAGTCATGGCCAAGCCAACATTTTCAGCTCTCTCATCTGTGGTCCTGCTGCATATGGGTGCCAACCAGAATTGAAACATTGTCTTCCTTATTAGTAAGCCCGTATCCCATCCAGTAGACCACAAGGAGAACAATTTTCATTCTGTTCCTTAGCCATGCTAGACTAACTTTATATGTAAGCGATCTCTTACTACTTGCTAATCAGTAGGCTGTCTGAACGCCACCTTTTCAGGAGATTATGTTTATAATCCATGTATCTATATGCTTTCATAACTCCTGAAAGTGATATTGTGGTGAGAATTTTTTTCTGTACACGTCAAGTTTTCCGCTCGACAACTGGATCCAGTTCAGTTCTGAATTATTTAATAAATTCCAGCCTGCCCCTGTGACCTGCTGCACTGTAGTAGAAATGCGCACAATTATAATTGTGAATATAAATGCCAGTCACACCCTGGGTTTCATGCTACGTTTTCCTGTCTGCAAGCCTCCCTTCCTCCTTCTGAAATGAAAGAATCTTGCAGAGTCCGGATCTTGCAGCTTGTTGGCAAAGCAAGTCAAGAAGCTTTTTGAGGGTGGTTACACTGTGAGCTCTCGATGCGTCAGCTGCACTCATCGTCCATTTTTACATTTGTCACCTGTGGTAAATGCAGATATTTATGCTTCCTGATGAAGACTAAGACATTTGCATTCATCAGGACGAGGAAGCATGTACAGCTGCCTTGGAGTTGCCAGCATGCCTTGCCTCATCTCACCCAGAGGAGTGGAGTTTCATATTGGCACATACACCCTTTTCCTCAGTTGCTTGGAAGTTGTCGAGTCCCCGACAAATCCTCCTTTTTTTTTTGATTTTTTTGTTTTATTTTGTTTGGATTTTTTTTTTGCTCTTCAAGCCCTATTTCCCAACCAATGGGATATCGTGCCTTTTGTTGAAGGTGAGTTGGTCTCTGCCATGCCTATGGACAGTTTATAGCAAAGATGATCTTTACAGTCCTCA